TGCAATAACGTCACTTCTATATGTTTAACAAATGCTGTGTTTTAAGTAAATTGTAATAGAATCGAGATTAACTCAATATTAATAGCTTTCTAATGGCAGTGCATTTGGTTCCTGTTTCTCGTAGTTTTGAGGGAAGTTTATTTTAATCAAGAATAAAAACATGCCAAACATTTTCAGACCACACGGGCATGCGTATTGTTATCCATGTACCTGGGGTGCAAGCGTTGTGCTAAACATAGGCACTATGGAACGGTTGGATATCTGCAATGTAGATAATAAGTGTATATGAAGTCTTAATGCTTTCTTTTACGTAGAAGACTGTCTGTTCTTGGTATCCTAGAGAGAATTATTTATGGGGTCTCACGTCCCAAGCTTAGCATCCTAATGTATCTTCCTTTTTTGGCTTCGTCATCATAGTCTTCTTCTTGTTTATCGACATCTTCACATCTTTTTCTGCTGGGCATTTTCTTATTTCCTACTTCTCTTCTAGTTCTTCTAGCTCTTCTTGTTCTTGTTAATTTTGTTCTTGTTCTTGTTCTTCTCCTTCTTGTTCTTCTCCTTCTTGTTCTTGTTCTTGTTCTTGTTGTTGTTGTTGTTGTTGTTGTTCTTCTTCTTCTTCTTCTTCTTCTTCTTCTTCTTCTTCTTCTTCTTCTTCTTCTTCTTCTACTTAATTGTTCTTCAATTTTTTCCATCTTTTCTTCTTCTTCTTTTCCTTCTTCATGATCTTGTTCTTGTTCTCATTCTGTCTTCTTTTTGTCCTTGTTCTTTTTCTTCTTGAATATTCTCTAGCCTCTGGCATTCTCGATGCAACGCAAGCTATGTATGGAACCACTGGCCACTCAAAGGCTCCATCTGATATTCATTCGATGTTCATACGTGCCTGAATATCGATCAAAGAGAGAATTGTAATAAGGTTAAAAGCCCATCCATTGAATGTGATGGAGCAATAAAGATAATCCAATTATCCTCCATTCGACACCAGTAGACGACTTCACGTAGTATAGCAAGTAACAATGGCAATGTTTGAACTGCAAAATCCTTTAATTCTTGGTGTATTTGAAATGTCTGTGGAATGATTGGCACATCACACTTTAGCCTTCTATTGAAGCTTASTCTCGCTCTCTTCCAGTTGGTTAATTTAGTTGAGGGCTCATAAAAAAGCTCAAAAAGTGACACGGTATTTGCTTAAAGTCTTTGGACTCTATGACTGAGAAAAAACCTTTGAGATTTCAGATGTCAACAGTGGACTTCCATGTTTAAAATGCTATCTCTGGCTAACTCCAGCAACGTGATCAAGAGCAAAGCAAAACCAGAATACAAACTGGATTTTAGGAAGGAAAATGTTCTCAAAACAAATCATGAGTTCCACAAAAGAATTCTGCCATTGTATGAATTTTTGAGAATGATTTCTACCAAGAAACCTATATCCGGCGGTCCAAAGAGCAACATTAGAACCACTGAAGAATTGAAGGATACTGCAGGCAAAGARATATGTCATCGAAAAGAAACGCTAGTAAAGAAAGTACAAAGAAGAAAAACAGAGGCTGAGTTTCATGTTCCCTTTGCGCCAAAAGAGTGCTTCGTTTGCATTTGCAAGGCAAGCAGCCACAATTACAGAGAAAAGTCAGAGTTGRAAAGTCTTATTCAAAAACCATGGATTAATCTCCAGAAAAGTAAAACAGAACCTCGGTTGTTCAAGTACCATTTAGTTAACGTKCCAGCTACAGTCCAAGAAGATGAGTCGAAGAATAACAACAAYAGYRTAAGTGAGATTCCGGGTGCAAGAAGGCCAAACCAAAGATTAGGGAAGCAAATAAAACGGCGAAATACCGAACCTTTATTCAACGTCTCAATGCCAAGACTCATCACTTCTAAACTTGTTCGTTCAAAGAGCTTTCCTGGRAAGGACAACAAGAAGATGGTTGTTGTTGAAAAGGTTATTTACTACGAGGAAGAAGAGACTGTTATTGTGGATGGATTTTTGACGACCGATCTGTGTTCGACAGAACTCTGAACAATAGYAAATACTATTCCTTGAAATAATTAAATCGAAGCTTCATATCAACTGTGACAACCACGACGAATTTCTAATTTGGAGCGATACGTATGAAATGTTTCGAAAAATCACAGTAATCTTTGAGATCTTTTGTATTATACTTTGAATGTTTCAAACTCCTTACATGATAATTTGACATGCTCCACAAACACTAAAACTTTTTTTTATAGAAATAAAATCAAAGAAATAGATAAATACGATTTGGTATATTTTCCACCATTTACAGCCTTTTTCAAAAATTATGAGAATTGCTGAAATATATAAATATCATAATATCAAGTGCATGGTCCCGCGCGATGCCCTTCGTCCCTTGTCTTTGTTGTTTAGTTTTTTCTGGCGACGGACTTATCCGTAGTTCTGATCATTTTGATCAAGTTGAAGACAATGTTGACGTCACAACGGACTTTTCCCTGATTGGCCAATTATGATTAACAGCTATTTCAATTGCTTTGCAATGCACAAAACAAAATCTTCCTTTGAGACCATTTTAAATTTTATTCAATTCCTAAACAATATGTTTTTAGTGTATGTTGAATGAAATGACAGTGGGGCATGAGATGACGCTGTGTCGTTTGACCTTGGAGGTCTCACAATCTCACGTCTTCCGATTTTGTCGTTTGAGATTTTAGACCTTAATCTACAAACAAATACCTACATATTAAAAGCAGTTAAGGCTGAAATTGATGGTATATCAATGGATGGGATATTTGCTGTTAGTATTCCTATGGATTCCTATGGCGCTAGATTAAGTATAATCTGAATGATATTACATAACAATATCATGTCATTCTATAGAGTTTAGCACTGTTCATATTTCCAAAACTATATTTCGTTTTTATATACATGTCATCCATTCATGATTTTATTTTACTTTTTTATTTTAATAGTGTTTCATATAATTTTTTGTTTAACATCAGCGTCATTACCATAACGTTCCTCTTGTGAAATTCTCGGAGATTTTGTCCGTCGTATTTTTTCAGGGCATGATTATATATCAATTCGCTAAAAAAACTTTAAAATTGTTTATAATTTGAAAGAAAAAWTTGATTTAGTCAAGAACGACTTGTAGACAGTTACTGTATAGTATACGAGTATGTTTCCCTACATCACCTTAACCGTCAAATGCCCTTCCCTTCTGCTTTTATAATAGATACGATTGGTAATCCTTACTGCTCTTAGCCGATTYTCATTTCTAATGAGCAAACTGTCGACTGCAGAATCTCCAAGAGATTGCCATTAAACCTCGCACAAAATAACTTTATTTTTGAATAAATATAAAATAACAAAAATAGAATTGATCGGCGCCGCGTGAAGTGAATTAGTTGGCATGGAGACGCATTTTTTTCATAGACCAATAAGAGCAGATTTTTCACATCACTCGTTTTCATCATCAAAGGCATCCAAATTGTCCCCCCAGGTCAGTCATTTAGACTCAATTAGTGGAATTATGGCCATATGACCGATTGTACTTGTACAACCGATCGTTTTATAARGCCATTAGGGCCCTATCGACTTAAATGGCCATATCATGAAAKAGAACTTATCTCTCTATATGAGGTACATTGGTTGAGTTTTATGGATATTGCTAAATGGTCAGTTAWACTTTGCTATATCARGTTCAAGCTGATYTGTACTGATACGAAARTGTGTCTGTTGCTAAAGRAGGTAGTTTGCCATCGGCGCTAACAAATTTGGGAGCGTTTAGCGCCGAAAGTCGCCGCTCACATAGCGAGAATTTCAATATTAGATTTACATTACATCAATTAAAGTCAATAGRGTTCAAATGTATTAAGATCGCAATCAAGTCGTCGATGAAGAACAATAAAGAAAACCAAATAACAGACAAAAAAGTTTCTCGTTCTAACTCCTCAAGAAGCCATCCGAGAACTGAGTCGGTGATTAGTCTTTTGTTGTAACTGAAATGACAGCTACGAGTTGCCGCAGTAGTTCGAGTTGTTGGAGCGTTTCTAGTCATCCACCAAGTGAACCCATGAAGGCTCCTTYGTCTCAAGAAAATGAAAATCCGTCTTTATCGTTGCCAAGTCTTACCGGGAAGAGAATTAGGGAGGGGAGAAGGAATACTTTACCAAATTTACCAGTTTGGGAGCCATTGCATTCCACATCAAAAAAGACCTGGTCTCTGACGGATGTTAACTTGGTAGAAGAAACTCGAGTTGTAGATGGAACCTTAACAACAACGCTATGTTCCACGGAACTCTGAACTCTTGTTGGAAAGGTGCAAAAGCGCAACTCKTCTYTGGTGAATGTATTTTTTTAGTTTTTACCGSGGAAGACTACATGTATATTCCACAGACTATCATTGAAATATCGATAGTGTTTAGTACCAAAAGAATGTCTAAAGTTTATATCCGATGAAAGTCTATGTTCATTAAAAACCGTCAAGTTAATTGGAACCTCATGATGTAACTCRGTGAATTATCGTTGCCATATTTATAGAGAAAAACRGCATTKTCAAAATAGTTGTGGCTGGAGAGAAAGCTTTAGGCACAATTCTAGGCCGATCGTATGTACAACTGTGGTTGCATGAAATTTCGAAAAAGGGGCTCTTCCATATTTGGACAGAACCYAATTTAAACTTGAGCACTTTCMAAAATAAATGATGGCCTCTTGGTAGCCAACTGAAATTGCCACCGAAAATAGCGCAATGTTTGTTGTAATGCAATTTTCAGAGTAATGCTTCAATCTGAAAAAGCCGTAGCATTAGAAAACTGAAATAAAATGTAAAGGAAATTCGATATTCGTATAACGAATTACATAGCTGTAAGAATTTCAATAAAATTAAATGCGTATACTCTAAGTTGCACRAAACTGAAAAGTTTTTTCATTTGTACAAAAAATATTTTATCTTCTACTTTCTTTAATTAGCGCTGCAATTTAATTCTTTTTATAATTTCTTGGAAGTGAAGTGTTTTTTTTTTCACAGAATGCAGTCCAACTTTATTTGAAAGGGACTSGATTTCCTGCATTGGTACGTAATATATTTGCTGTATTAGGGATGACAAGCTCGGTCGAGGACCATGAATCGTGGTTGACTGATAATCTTATAGTTTTCCTAAACATGTATGTATGTATGTTAAACTATGAATATTAATTCATGCTAAATTCCATTTTAGCTTTTAGTCTGTTGTGTATAGTAAACTGAAACGTGTATGTGCACTATATTATAACGCTTTATTATATGCTTGTTGCATAACCGCAGTTTAACTGCTTTAGCAATTTMCATTGTCAGATTTGAGAGTTTCCTTCACTGCAGACAGACCAATCCTCTTGTCATAACAAGCATAGTACCTGAAACAAACATTAAAATACGTAAAATATAACCAGTATTCGATCCCCTATCGCAACCGTTATGTATCTTGTTCCCAGGTCTCTCCCCCACTAACGCGAGCTAGTGAGGGAACTCTTATCATAGATTACGAAACTAAGCACTGAAAAAAAATCGCGCACTTTAAAAGGTTGTAAATTTGATGTAAATATTATGTATTAGTGTCCAAAATGATGTAAATTTACTTTTAAATGCGTATTTTTTCCCGTGAAGTGACTAGATAAAGTTCACCTTACCTCTGACCACCAACTACGAACTGAATGGTGACTTGTTTGAGCTTCCAGCCACCGACTAAAAGAGCCACATCATTCCAGACCTCAATGCTCGTTAATGTCCCCAAATYCGCCTTGAGTGGAGCTACAAATAGYTCRGTACTTCCACCYTTAAGYTCTCTTCTATRCACGGAGAATCAAAAGCAAAATGAATACAATGCATGAAGATTGCGTCATGATAGTGATTACATTGTGATATTAAGATTACGTCACAATAGGGATAACGTTATGAAGATGATTGCGTCATGGTGCTGATTACGTCATTATTTTTATTACGTCMTAATGATGATAAGGTCATGCATTCGCTTTAAGCAACTATATGTAATATATACAATATGAGCGGGCGATCTGTATGTAATATACAACTCTCTTCATGGGCTATGATTTCTATTGTGTTTTGCCTTATGAATATTAATGAGTTTTATAAGACTTTATATCTTTACTTTTCAAGTTCAATTTTTCCACTGTCACCATTGGTTCCGAAAATACGAATTTTGGCATTTTTTCCTCCAACCAACCAGGCTTTCCAGCTTGCAGGTGATGTCTCGAATGTTACGTACAGATAGCTGTGCACTGAGATGCAAAATAAACAACCATTACTTCAWGAGAATATTAACACGTGACTACTATTCATGGATATATGTTTATTGGGGAGATATTGGCAGTTATTCTCATATATATGTAAACAATAACAAGAGCGCGCGCTGTATTGTGGTTGGTTGGGATTCTTTAATATTGAAGTTAATCATCACCATCATCATCATCGTTCGGCTGTTACACAGTCGACTACAAGACGTTTCCAGTTGACCCGGTCTTGGGCAGTTCGTAGAATGTCTGATTCAGTGAAATTGCCAGTTAGAAATTGCCAATAGATTTTATTCAAAACTTTAAGCTCGATATCTAATGATTTATTTTTTATATATGCGAAATTTTTCATACCACAAAATGGAGATTGTTCGTTGGTGTACAAGTAAAACGATCCTTTTACGTCTTTCATGTCGCTTGCCCCGTGTCCCATTCGTGGGCATCCTGACTGACACGACATGCATTTACCACTTGTGAATCCATACCAGTCTTGACACGGATAACCTTTAGTTGGACAACTTTTTACGGATTCAATGTAGTACTGAGTTGCACGGCCATGGTCACAAGCAACGTCCAATCCTGCATGGAGAGGGAAAAGACCATTTAATTCAACTGTTTTTTTGATGTGATGGTTTGATTGGCGTGCTGATCAATCAATCTATTCGTCATCGTTTTTCCTGTTTTTTTAATTGGTTTAATTTTATGGTAAATGGTAGTCTCCATCCTCCGCAGCCTTTTTCACTGACTGAAGGGGAGACTTAATAACTAGCAGAAACTCATAAGGGGATTGAAACGTGTAGCAACAGTACATTTCTTTGGTTCGATGCTCCGGAATATTCAAAACGCCAATAAATCAACTGAAGTCATTTTAAAACCATATTTGGAACAATAATATACCTCATTCCATGTCCTTTGGATGGTAATCAGTTGATTTTGTACGATTTTCAGCTCTTTTGAGCATTTTAGCTACATTTTAGAACCATTTAAAACGAGACAACTTTTTGCCGCCGTCTGTCCGCCATTTTGTTTTCATCTCAAACTCAAATGTTTGGCCCAAATATGGTATCAAAATTATGCTAATCATTTTGAATATTCCGGAGCATCTGACCGTGCTACACGTTTCAATCCCCTTATGAGTTTCTGTAACTAGTTATTTCATCGTTCGTTTTTACCACATCCTCTTTGCCTGCGTCCCCCATTAGGATAAAAGTCAATGTGTCCGCATGGTGTTATCAAACCAAAAGCATCAGTGTCAGTGTGAATGATATCAACAAAGTCAGCATCACTAGCGTCCAGTCTCACGTCGGTATGCTCCTTGTAATAATACGGGCCAGCAGGATCGAGTCCTTCAAAACGAAAGATAGGTAATGACGTAGTCAGTCATGACGTATGTATGTAGATGKYGCAAACAGGAGTGATGAGCTAAAATATGAAATACTGAAAACAAATACTGCTGATGACAGTGATTATGACGTAAAAAAGGGCTATGATGTAGATAGGGGTGATGACGTAAATAGAGATGTTGACGCAAATAGTGGTGATGAAATGGAGATTGTCGTGATGACGTAAAAAGTGGTACGGACTTATATGGTAGTGATCGTGAAGCGATAACAATGTGCTTGCAAATCTTGACACCTTGAGACTCTTTACCTGAGATGCGGCCAAGTTTTACCGACTGCAGCCTTCTGCCGGCGTAACCAGCGACCTGAGCACCCAAGCTGAACCCGATCAAATGAAACGAGGATGGAGTATTGCCAGTTTGTGCATTAAGAAACTTGATCATTACTGCAATCTTTATCCATAAAAAAACTGAGTTATTTGGAGAAGTTACATGCACATATTAGAATTAATTTAGACTTTAAAAAAAAGAACTATATAAAATAATAAAATAAAGCAGCTTTTTGACAAATAACATATAGTAAATGAGACATTGAGCACATTCTCCTTAGACTACCCYTGTCACTGGAGTTCCTGTGGCAAATGRGTTGAGAAGATACCTACCTGCGCTCCAACTAAACGTGTATTTGCCACAGACGTTGGGTAYAATTTCGCAGCTCCCTCCTTCCACTCRACAATGATTAGGTTGGCGTCTTCGTTGTCGAGTAAGGCATCCTTTAGATCATTAAGCCATTTCGACGTCTCGAGTTTTTCTTCATTGACATAGAACCAAATTGCACAATCAGTAAGAGTAGTGGCCTATAGTGTTTCATCATTTGACAGAACTGAATGGAAGCGTGTAGCTCGAACACAAAAAACGGTTGTCATAAAACCGCTTAATAGATAACAAAATGTCGAAATATAGAGGTCATATTGATTATTAGGGGCAAGGGACAAAAAGGGGAGAAGGCCATCTTTCTTTAAAGGGCTACTTGGACGAAAATTTCGAATCATTAGAAAGAAAAGACTTGGAAATCAAATAGACCTATCCATATGGGTCTGATAATCATGAAGCAACAGATTTCAAGAAGATATTGATAAAAATCCTTGATAATTTGGACAAAAAATTTACTCCATTCTTTTGTTCTTCCATCTTTTGAATCAAAATTTATCTGATGTGGGATAATTCTAAAACAAATATTTTACCGCGATTGTTTTTAATAGATATCAATGAGTCATACATTTGTACTGCTTGAAGTTTTGAAATAAGGCCATTTTCATGCAAGTAGCACTTTAACTCCCATTAGTCTCCCCTTCAATTGAAAAAAACACAGGGAGCCTGTGACCTACACCATACCAGTGTATCCATGAATCAACATAATCGTCTTCTTCTGTCCATCATAGCTGCTGGCCTGGAGTTTAGTTACGTCACTGTCATCAATGATGACGTTGCTTGATTTCGTCATCAAGTGAAACGTTGTGCCGACCTSGTCGGGGCACTGAGGCAGAGGCACAGGGAGGGGTTTCAAGATGTCCACAGMACGATTGAATGGGTAGCTGTTGTTAAAGCTGCCATATTTACCATAGCACACTTTACCTTTTGAAAAACATATTGAGATTATAGTTTTAATCATTCCTGCTAAATTCTTAAAACGCACTTCAGGAGCCTTGACGACCTGGSTTTCAAGTCTGTATCTCCTAGGTAAATATGTCAATGCTGCCCTCCTTGAAGAACCACTCCACTATCAGGGTAGTAAAGATGTAAATTGTTCCTTTAGTGATTCCCAAGGGCAAATCTGTGTTTGATCCCGATTTAAAAAACGTTTTTGATCCCGATTTCTAAGGGCCCGATATACCAAGGCTTTCATTGTGATCCCTGGTTCCGAATGGAGTTAAGGCATATAGTAGATCACATAACCATCGCTACAAAGCTGAAATATTTTCCGATTTTTTTCYCTTAAACGCAAGTAAGAACAAAATCTAGTCCCAAACGATGCGTACTCGATCCGTACACTGACGCATAAACGACTCGTAACCGCATACGAAAGAATGCCTAAAACTGACTATCAAAATGCATGAGTAGTGCTAATATCAAAACGAGGCATCGAATTATCGTTTCAATGTTAWATTTCCCGAGAAGTGTGTTTATTTTAGCGAACAGTCAACAGTAGTCATTTTCATTTTGGTAGCAAGCAGTTTAGAAAATACAGGTGGCTGGTTGCTTGAGCACTTTTAATTAGAACACAGATGGGGGCACCTTTTGCTGACTTTGCGTTTGTTTTAGCTGTAGTTACTCTGAAATGCAGAATAACAAACCTTGAGAAATAGTGTATTTCAACTGATGACAACTTTTTACTAACATTTTGCGGGCTAAAAACAGTTAAGTATTTTGAAATTTAATGCTACTTTCGACAYCCCTCAAAATAGAGAAAAGTGAGTATTACTTATTCGGAAACCAATAACAAAATAAGCTAAAAGCAGTGATTGGGCCACCTATTAGGTGCACTAAAGACGTATTAAATCCTTGAAAACTTTTGAGAGAGCTCTCTGCAGTATCCGTCGATTGATCAGTCATCAAMGACTTATATCAATACAATTTACCTTTAGTGGAGGCGAGAGCCAAAATCTCAAAGAACAACACAAGTAAGACCATCGTTAGAAACACTCTGTGGAATACTGAACTGACCTTGTACGCAATCAAAAGTTTTATTTCAACCAATCAACACCATCTATACCAAATACATCGCCGGGAAGACGTTGTGTTGTTATAGCAACAAATATGGCTTACATTTTAACGGCTTTGATAAATGTAGACCACTGAGGAATAAGAGATTTACTGCCACTCAATCTTATGGTTTATGTTCATATTTGGAGTAAATTTCTCTCGTTTTGTACCTATCGCCTATCGCCTAAGCGTCGTTGTAGCGCAAAAAAAGAAGCCCATGAAAAACGAGAAACATKGACGCTTTTTAAGTTGAACGCAGAAACAATATTGCGCGACAAGTTGACGATTTTTTTCTTAAATTAATCTAAACTTTCCACTTGCGATAAACGCAAATTAGTTCTAACCGTATGAATATAAATATAAATACAGTTTTTTTTTTACAATATTATTCACACGAGAGACTGTCTATGTGACAAGTTAAGAATATATAGACCTCAGTCTGACTAGTTAACTTATAGTAAACACTATCTATTCTCATGTACTTAAGTTAATTTGTGTGACAAGAAAATRTATATGTAATCTATCTTATATCGGCAGTAAATCCTAAAAATGACACAGTTAATTCAAAGAACGTTAAAACTTCATGACAAATTGCGCATTATAGCATTATATGAGACTTAGTAAAGAAGTGTTTTAATAGTTAAACTAAGGCAACACGTATATCCATTGGTTTTCTTAAAAAGATATGGCAATACAATGAACACATCTAGAAGGTTCCGGCAAGGGAAAATTCAATTTTTGCACCTTGCTGTTATAGAGTTTTTCCAATTTTCTTGATTATATAGCGCTAATAAAATCRAGCTTTCGACAACTTAACAGGAGGTATGAAAGTTTAATTTTCCCCCTGCCTGAACCTACCAGATGTATTGACATTRGGTTTGGCAGTTCTCCCACCAAGAGGATTATCAATATAACAAATTGTTTTTCTATTTACCCAATGTAAACAATTACAAATATCAAAAGAAATCAGTGTTGACAGTATCAACGCTTGAAATGTGTCACAAGGTACGAGAAATTAAACTTTTTCATTGTTTTAGACATTCAAGCTGTGACTGCTTTTTGTGACCGCACGCTGATGAGCATTGGACTCGTAGATAGTCAAGTCGATACTGGATAAATATCCACTTTGAGACGCAGGTTCACCTCAGTGGGCATTTCACTGTCTCCACACAGCTGTGTTTGTGTGGACGTTAACTCTCGTATCAGATAAGAAATATGCATTACAGCATCAAGCACAGTTCAGAGAAACTAAATAGTTTCACGGGTCCCTGCGCCATCTTGAAAGGTAGCTGTGGTTTGACATTGAAGCGAGACAACCGTTGAGCGTGCAATGATAGATACCTGTGAATAATTGTCTGTAGGTGTGAAAGAAGGTTTCTCCCAAAGCTCAACGATTGTCTCGCTTCGATGCAAAGGCACGGCTACCTTTCAAGATGGCGCAGGGAACCGTGAAGAAGACTATATTCTTTCTAACTTTCTCATCTGTAAAAGTGAAGCTGAAAAACAGCAGATTGTGGGGTATTGTAGTCTATATTGCCCGCGGTCGTCAGGAAATTAATTCAATTCTCCGCCCCTACCGCAAACCTCWATCAACACAGGCTACGGAGAAGAGCAGATTTTAGATTTGGGACGTTAATTCTACTACAAGGTTACCATTCCCATATCGGACAACTCCCATTATCCAAATCATTTTTTCCCCAAGTTCGTTTCACGGGAAAAACCACTCTATGGTCATTCAACTTGAAAATAGGTTACTGGTTTAATAAAATATCAATTTCGAAGCCAGAGGCTGAATTGCCTAATATTGTACACAATATGATTATAAATATATAAAACTTATTACAATCRAATAGTATCAATATAAAACTAATTATGTTTTTCAAAATTTCTGTAAAATTGTCACTGCGAAAACGAGAATTTACATCATCCGTCATAGTTCATTTGAGTACACATTGCACAAATAAATGAGTTCTGTTTCTTCCTTCAAGTGTTGTACGGGCCCTGATGTTTGGAGGCAGTAAATTTCTAAAATAAGGTTTTTTTGAAAGAAGTATTATTTTTAATATTTTTTGTATTTTTATATTTTTTGATGCACACGGACTTCACGGGGAGATTTGGTGCGAGTCACGTGATTACATCAATCCCTCATAAGGATCATAGTATAGTACGACAGGTTACGCTTTTGGTGAAACAACTTTGGAAAGGTCTCTCTCAGTACACAGTAGAGGAAAAATGGTCCTAATCGTTGAAATAGTGTTTGTTGTTGGAACAACATACCTTGCAGCTTCAAATGCGRTTTTTGTGACGCACAAAGTTTGTAAATGGTTTGCAGCCAAGAGAAAATCCACCAAGAACAAAAAATTGCGATACCTTCGAAAATACAAGCCGTCATACTATACCCTTAGCTTCATGTACTACTAACTTGAAAGCTTTGGTAAAAACTAGTTGGAACTCCATAAGTTATTGGATGGCAG